GGAATATCTGAGCGCAACAGTAGTAAATACCACTTTGTTTCGCTTTATTTCAAGTTTACAAGGACTATTGTTCCCCAAACAATCTCTTTGTATAGTTCTCTCTATTTTTAATTTTATATATTTCAAGAAAAATCTACAAAACGAAAGAATAAATGAAAGAAAGAAAGAAAATGCAGTTAAAATACAAGATTGAGGCCACCCAAAACAATAAACATGACCTTAGATAACTACTCCATATGATGAATTAATATACGCAAGCTCAATGAAAAACCTGAGCAGACGCATAATACTCACTCTCATTGAACACAGGTCTTAAATCTTCTTGGCACATGAAATCCAAAGAGAAAGAAACAAGGTGTCCCCTGACGGACTCTAACCTTTCCATCGGGTCTGCTTTTGTAACATCTCCGTTGTGGTAAGAATCCAGCTTCTCCGGCGCGATTCCTAAATCGATAGTTGTGTGCCCAATTTTCTCCTTCCATGAAGCCATGCTTTGTCTAAATGCAGCTCTACGTGAAATACAATACAAACATAGGTTTTGTTATATATATAGCACAAGAAAAATGGAGAAAATTATTAGTAGAGCTATAAATACGTACCTGGAATGTATAAAATCGTTAGGTATGCAAGAAAATACGTCTTCGTAGATAGCTGTGTTTGTCTGCCACATAAACCACAAAGTTATTACTTGGAATAGATTCTAGGAATCTCGTCCCTTTTTCTTTTTTCATTTTATTATATTCTACATTTTTTTTTCCTTCTTTCCATGTTTACTAAAATAAGTGTAAAGTCACTTGTATTAAACTATAACTCAACAGGTTGTTTTTCTCTTTTGATCTCCACTCACCTTTGCAGTTGCCATCCATATATCCTTGTAAGTTGAGTCAGCAACTGGGTCGATTATTTGACGAATCTGAGAAAAATATCAAACAGTTCAAGACAAGAAATCAGCTAAAGACTCGGACCATGTCAAAAAGCAACAATACTACTAACAGTATTAGCTCTGTGAAAAGGAAAAGAAACTAGAATTATAATTTTTACCAACCTCTCCTGGACGAAGCCCAAGGTGTTCAGACCACAAAGACAGGCGAAGACTCGACGAGAATTTCCCAGCCTTCCATGGTTTTCCTCCCATGTATGAATTAACCATCTCTTTGTCTTCGATTAGTACGCCAATCTGAAGCACATTATTTGATAATCAAGGACAAACTTAACCCCAAAGAGATGTGGAAAAGCTCATTGCAGGAGCAATCTATAAAGCAATCAGCAGAAGTAACACTACAGACAGAATATATCACTTGCAAGAACTGTGACTATCCGAGAATGCTAAATTGTTATACGATTGTTGTTGGTGATTCAGAAAATTAATCAAGAGAATTGAAATAAGAAAATTAGAGAACTTCTGATTCGTATAATTAGAAAAATTATTTGCAACTTGATGTTCTCATGTTAACTTTCTTTACTTTCACAGTTTCCCTATTTCCCAATGCAAAATATAAAGGGAAGCCTGCAACTCTTGAGACTTTTTCACTATCAATTCCAAGCTCCTAAAGCTACTGGACTCGCTTGATGAAACCTAAGGGACTAAGATTTCGTGGAGAACCTAGACAGAAGACATACCTCGGAGTCTCTTGAACCAAGCAAACTCCTATCATTAATGTTAGCTGAACCAATTAAAGTTGTACAATCATCAATAATCATGATTTTACTATGCACATAGACCTGCAATAACCAGGAAAAAGGAAAAAGTATTAGAGGAATGCTGACATGTATAATTAGACCACTAGTACTGGGAATCATAGTACACAATACATGAGTGCGAAGGCATATTGCCGAAAGAGACGATACCTGACTGGATGCCACTGGACCACCATCAAAAAGCTTACCATAAGCTCTTAGCCCATAGAAAGAAATGTAATCATGTGTTTTAGGACCAAGAAGATCATAAAGATTATATAATATCGAATTGTTTCCTCTGCAAATTGTTCGATATTGCCAGTGCAGTATTGCTCTCACGGATGCAGCACCGGCATCATCCAAACCCCCCTGCAAACCAAATCAGTAAAGTGGCATAAAAAGACATAAACTAGATGGATGATTATTTCAGATATTTCTTTTAATTTGCGGGAAGAATCATTTCAGAATTTGAAGATAAATGATCAAGAATCTAAACCTGGAAACCGGGAAGAAGTGGTATGATAATAATAACCCTGAAACACTTCTTATCGTTGTATGCTCTCATTATACGCCGAAATAATGCTTCTAAGACACGATTCCGTATTATTTCGTCCCCAGAAAGACCTGATATGAAAAACTGATTCTGCGAGAAGTGCAAGCAGATTGAAAAACAGTCAGGAAGCTAAAACACACATGGCTCGGGAAATTTTCTACAGAAAAAGTTCTTTCGAGTTGAACAATTTTTTAAGGAGACAAAAATAATATACCTCTATGTAGATAAAGTGCTCCGCCTTCTCTATAAGAGAGCAATAAGCATTATGAATGCTTTCTTCAACTTGACTTGTTCCAGAAGACCACTGACTGACACTTCTAATAACCTGAAGATCAAATGTCAACAATCAGAATAGAGGATACAGTGTGGAGTATGACAATGAAAGAAAGAAGCCAATTGGCCTAACAATACTTCAGAACCAAGAGTAACAACCTACCTGACATCGGCATGAAGTACGAGGACCAACTTGGCCAGATTCATCTGTGAAACCACCCTGATTTCCCCGTTCTTGAGTTTCCCACCACTCTGGATCTGGATATTTCATGCCAGGTTGCTTCACCCCATCTGAAGTTAATTTTCCACGATGAACCATGTCAAAGTCATCTACAAAGTCCGTCAATGGCAGCTCTGGACCAACTACTCCAGTTCTTGACTTCCGGAATGGAAAAGGAAGACCATTGGGAGAAGGGCTCAACCCATTTGATTTTGGGTCTCCATTTGCAGCACCCGCCCCATCAGACTCTTGAGGCAAAAGCAGGGGGATATCCTGATACGAGGACCTGGACGAGAAGGAATCCTGTCTTTTAATTCCCTTATGATTGTTCACATTTATATTCTCAATCTCAATCTCTTCGCTTCTTCCCATGTAATGTGGAATGACCATGTGATGCTGAGGCATGAGTAGTGGAATTGTTTGCTCATATAGAGCTTTATTTCTCTGAAAGAAAACAAATTGTATTAAGACCAATATTACCGAACTAGTACTGGATTGAAAGTTACACAAATTTTATAAGTGCCTGACCTTTGCATAGTTCCAGCGCTGAACAAAGTGCCTGGCTATGTCACGGCAAGGAGGTCCCTCCAAGGCACAATGGACATCATGCCAAGGCATACGAGGATATTTTTCACGATCTAACTCATCTTTCATTGTGTCTTCCCAAGAATTTGGTTCAGATTCCCTAACAATTTTATATTACGCCGTTGCAAACATCAATAATAGCAAACTTTAGCATCATTGGCAGTTACTCAAATGCCTAAATAACTGTTGGTCAAAGGCATAGAGACTAAAAACCTCCTAATGGTTTGTTTAAAACAAGAAGATAATCCACACTAGACAGAAAGAAATTTACTTTTAGAAACTCATCTCTTTAAGAGAGGAAATATTTCGACCAAGATTTCACCGAAGATCCTGCTATTTTTACAGTAAGGCTATATTAAGGAAAACATACTAGTAATTGACATTTTTATCCTGCATAGAACATAAGAGTAAACAATAAGTGACTAGCCTGGTAAAGTGATTGGGAATCTATGTTAGTCTCGACATAATCTATTCATGTCTTCTTAAGAATTGTCTATTGAATTCCCGAAATCACATCATGTGTTCCCATCTTAGAGAAAAGAAGCTTACCTTGGGTTATAATAGTCCTTTCCAGGCCATACCAGAGGTGGACAATCACCCACTTTGTGCTCAGCTGTATCATAACGGCCAAAGCATAAATCCAATCCTCCGATAAAGCATATCTGGTAATCAACAATGACAATTTTTTCATGGTGGGACCTATATTTAACCCATTTTTTATATCAGAAACTGCATACATACAGAAGCACAAGCTAAAATGTCAACTTCTTGGAGAACTCCAAAAGCAATATGGAAATAGATTACATACCACAAGTAAACACCACTAGCAAAGTGGTCGGGGTAACGCAGTACCCTGACATTTTCATGAATGCTAAGCAGCCTTTTCTTGCTATAGACGCTGTTTATTTTCAAAGCAAGAGCAACTTCTTTGTACAGAAGAATGTAAATCTGCATTCAAGTAGTACTTAGTCAGCAATGAAAATCCAGCATTTTTCTTCTGTGGGGAATAAGAAGTGAACACAAGTATAGCTACACAAGCACCAATATAAACAATAAAATATCAATTTCAAAATGTAGCTAGACAAAACGGTCAGTATAGCCCTGTATCAAAGCTAATTCATTATAAAAACAGCACCTGAACTCCTTGCTTAGCCTTTGCTTCCAATAAAGCATCAAGCCTAGAAGAAGCATGAGCACTGAAAGGACGTCGTAGATACAATTCTGGACACAGCCACCAGCCACAAATAAATATCTGCATAAGATTTCCCATCATGAGAGAGGAACTTGATGAAGATACTTAAATAATCCACGTGAATCAGTTCTAGTTCTGGAAGGGAAAAGAACAGACCTCTGATTTTGCATCCTCAATTGCAGAAGCAATAGCTTCAAATGCAGCCTGACCATCAACAAACCACTGAGCCCAACTACCATCTTCACTCAAACCTCTTGGAGGCGCGAAAGATCCAAAGCGGTGAGGATGACACCATCCCTCAGGAGGCCGCAGTCCAGCATCATTAATTGAAGCAACCCAGTCCTTGACTTTAGCACTACTCTTAGCTCTTAACCTAATACTCCGACTTCCACATGTAACCTTTTAAATACATCCATAATTTGTTAGAGAAATCACCAGCCCACTAAAATAATTCAGGTTAGACAGTTTAACAGATTGAGAACCAAGAATCACAATCTCAACGTCCAGATTTTCAGAAATTGATCATTATTTCACTTTTTGTTAAGGCATCAGAACAGAGTAACAAAGAAATAAAAGAAAGAATAACAATAATCTTCAGGCCCGAGAAGGGTGTAAACATGTACTGAGTCAAAGTGCAACATAAGGGCCGTGTTTGGAATTGATCCCGTTTTTATTTTTCACGTTTTTCGAAAAAGAAAAAATGAAAACGTTTCCAAAATGACGTTTGGCGCAATAAAGACAAAAACGGAAATGAAAACGATTTTTTGGTTTAGTGTAAAATGAGAGAGAGAGAGAGAGAGAGAGAGAGAGAGAGAGAGAGAGAGAGAGACATTAATGGGTTTTTTTTAATACTGAAAACAATCTCTTGATAAAACTACCAAACGCATTTTCAAAAATGATTTCTGTCTGAGATTGAAAACGTTTTTATTTCATTTTCATACAAAAAATAAAATCATTTTCAAACGAGTTCTAAACGCGCTAAAGAAGTATTACCAAAAGCCCAAATGACAGGAGGACCCTACATTAGTAGGAGAAAGGATCTATACATGGTAATAGATAACTAAGGAGCAAAAAGAATAAGCAAATAAGTATTCATGGTCTGGGACCGCAGATGATACCTTAGAGTGAGATACAAGATATAAAGAAAGAGATTTAAACCTAAACAGAAAGCCTTGGTGATGCTAACCTTGAATGCATGGCGTAAAGGATTTCGTTCTTTTACTTCTTTCGCCAACGATACTCGGCCCTCTCCATTCCCATCTGAGGCTGGTAGGACATCAAAAACAATAATATCTAAAGGTTGAGTATCGAAAGGATCTGCCAGCAAGGCTAAGAATCCAGGCTTTAATACAGCCCAAACCTGTACGCAGTCAAATCCAGGATGATGTCAAAGGGTGAAAAGATTTAATACAAACATTATTGCGGAAAAGATTTTATGTTTTATTCATTGGACTGTTTCCCTATCCTAAAGTTCACTATTGATGAAGCTAAATCAATACACATCATTACCAACAAGTACAAAACTATGCTCATTTGCTTTATCAAATGAAATATGCCATTTTTAGGCACTCTAAGTGAACTAGTAGGAATGATAATGACTATACACAAGCAGGGTTGAAAACTCAACAAGAATACAACTAGGAGTGAGCTGAAATAAATTCTATAGTGTGTGGGTCCTGTGAAGTGCCCTGGGGTTAGTTTGGAATACCTTCCTATTACCCAACAAGTCCTTTTTTTTCATAGTAAACAATGAAGGAAAATGCAAAATGTTCAAATTTTGAATTGAAATAAAATTAAAGAAAATACTGTTTCCATAAAGCAAAGAAACTCAATTATCGAAAAGAAGGGATTTAGGTGTAATTATAACAATCATTCAAAAGATATCTTATTTATCAGACCAAATAACGGTTGCCATTACACAGAATAATGTGTTCTGCAATAGCTTAAAGTTTGTCCACCAAATGTGCATTGTTTACAATCATTGTTTGCCAAGGAGGAATGAAGGCATTGTGAAACCGAATGCGGGAAAATGATGCATTACCTTTTGCCAGTTGTCATTGCAACAATTCAACCATTGACAAGGACAACATTTCCTGGAATCCTCATCCTTCTGAATTTTTGGTAGATGCTTTACCATCACGTAGTCTTCTTTTAGCTTGGGACCATATTCTGGAGAAAATGATAATTTAGATACCTCCAAAAATCGGCATACCTGCAGTACGAGATTAAAAATGAAGAGATACGTGTAAAAGAAATCAAATGCAATAAAATGATGAATAACACAATCTCCAAAACTGATAATATGAGAAATAGAATCTCAAAAGTCTTTCGGAATTACAAAACTGTAGCAATGTTTACAAATTACAATGAAATAATTTAGAAAATTGCCAAGTATTATTTATACAGAATAATAAATGATTGCTAAATTTGCATGAAGATCATTGAGTGCTCGAAAATACAAAAGCAAGACAGCTCAAGTATCTAGATGTTTCAGTTTCTACTATATTATAAAGTAGTTTTCATCAAATTCGTCAAATTCATTCATAGTTCAGAATGTGTTCCCATTGAGTAAGACGATCAAAATCCACCTTAAAAAATAGTAATAATACAAAACAAGCAAACCTCTCTGGAGTTAACAATGTCCATGTTTCCTAGAAAGTGATTCAGATACCCTTGCATTGCGATCTTTGCTCTGTCAGCAATGGACTCCTGCCTTCCCAAGGCTGGCCGAATGATTGGCAGAGCAGCACTAGATGGAACATTTCTGAACAAGAAACCAACCTATCAATTAAAGCTACATCAAAAATTCTAGAATAAAAGATAAATTCCTCCTGCATCCAATTAAACACAAAATACTCCATGTTGTCACCTGTTTTTAGCACTTCCATCGTGATGTAAAGGAACAGCCTCATCATCGGCATCATCATCGGCATCATCATCTTGCACCACAGCTGTGTGATCTCCTATTCCTAGATTTTGAAGCCATTCTTTAACCTTCAATATAATGTTCCAACAGAAACTACATCAGAATCCCAAACCTTCACAATGAAGGATAATAAATGGACAAACGACATAGAGTACTACAGAACTCTAATCATCACATCCTAGGATTTTTCACATAACAGCATCTCAAGTCTGGATCATTTTCAAAAACACACCTGTTCTTGCTTCTCGAGCATTTCCTCAATAAATGCACGTTTCTTCAACGCGAAATGCAAGTAAAACACATGTGCAGCTTTCTTCAACAACCGCCACTTAAACTACATAACAGAAATAGCAGATAAATATAGAGTAGCAGTCATTATCTAACAAGAATAAAAGGATTCAACACCGAATAATGAGAATTTAAAATCAGAAGATGATCGAATTTCAAGGAAAGAATTACATATTTTGAAATGAATTCTTATAAGAAAGACAACTAAATCATGATCGCGTAGGAAGCCTGATTTAACACTATCCAGTAATCTCATTCTCAATCAAATGCAAAGCAATAATCCGTAAAGTTTCAATCCAATAATCGTTTTCTTTTGTCCTTTTCCTTTGAATTTGTCGCTACTCGCTAGGAAAGTATATAAATGGAAAGATTAATCACGGCAGACTAGTGATCTACCTTGTCACCAAAAAGGAAAGCAGGAACGATTCAATTTACGGAAAGAATCTTTCAATTACGTAAATAAAGTTGAAATTTCTAATTCCTAACTCTACGTGGATAAGAAATAGGAAAAGAGGATTTGAAACAACAGATTCCGTATCGAATTTCCTTTCCTTCAATCCTGAATTTTCTCGGCAGCCAAACATGATAGTTAAAATCTAAATTACGGTTCTAAGCAACCGAATTCAACAGCGAAGTCGAACAATCACAGCGGATTTCAATCGGAGGCCAAATGAAACAACAAAAACAACGAATCGCAAGAATTGAGAGGGAGATCGTGCCTGTTTGTATTGAAACTCGATTGTGTAGGAGAGGAGCATGGGACTGATATCGCCGGCGTCGGGGCGCGAGACTTGGACGATGGTGGCCTTGGGAAGCTGATCAAAAATCCGAGTCGGCTCGGGACGGAGAGAGAAGGAGAAGGAATTCGGATGCTCCGATTGCATTTGGAAGTAGCGAGAGCCGCTCCCCGTCCTTATCAACTGCTCCGATTCCATTCGGCTCCGATCGCCGCCAACGTTTTCCGGTCGAATTCAAGCAATTCACAACACGACGACGAAGAAGAAGAAGAGAGAAAGCGAAGAACGATCTTTAGTGGCTTCTGCGTTTGCTTGTTCTGTGGATCGTGTAATTTGGAAGGAAGAGTGAGCGAGCATTGGCAAGCAAAACCAGAGAGAGAGAGAGAGAGAGAGAGAGAGAGAGAGAGAGAGAGGAATGGAAATGGTAGGTTTCGTTCTGTTTCATAGGTTTTTGAAATTTTTTTACAAGTTTAAAAAAGAACGTCAAAAACGTGTAAGTGTGGCGTTCTGGATGGTCCGTGATTCTAGAAAGGAAAGAGTGGTCAACTTCGAAGTGTATTACTTCCCTTGTTTTTTAACTCAACTTCAAAGTGTATTACTTCCCTTGTTTTTTAACTCAACTTCAAAGTGCTTCTTCCCTTCTTTTTATTATTAGTTTTTTTTTTTTTTAATAAATCACGCAAGTTTCAACTATTTAATGCCGATGATGATTTCTTTTCTTAATTGTGTTTGTATGCCTTGGGAACCACGTTGACGTTGCTGTTATAGATTGTGCCATTTATGGTGAGTGGGTTTTTCAATCTACAAAAACTGTTTGGGATGGTTTCTAAATATTATTTATATATATATATTCGTTCCCAAAAAACAAAAACAAAAAAAGGTTTGGGATTGATTCGTCTAGACAAAAGTCAGACTCAACTTAACAGCAACTAATTTTCAAAAGACCGGTAGATCGTCCTATTAATGAGACTAATTTTTTAATTGTTAAATTTAATTAAAATTAAATGAGATTAAAAAAATATATAATTAATAATTTTTAATACAACGGTTAAAAACGGTTTAAAAAAATAAAAATACCGTTAATTTTATTTTTTTAATCTTACAGAAAACTCTCTTCTTTTAAATACAAAAATACATATTACTTAAAAGGGTGAAAAAGAAAAGGCCCTGTCCTAGACATTAGAAATTTGGAACATTTTCCTGTTTTACTAATAGCTGGGTTAATAGTTTCACCCATACCAGAAGACAAATAGCAATGGTAAAGGAAGCTATTTAATGGAGTCTGCTTGTTACAAGTCATTTGAAAATTTGAATGGACATGACAGCCGAGAACAACCATGCCCCCTTTTCCCCTTTTGGAGGCGATCTGCAAAGGTCGAAGTCTTTGAAGATTGAGTTGTTGGGCTTATTAGAATTCTCCGGACAAAGTCTAGCTTTTCTACGAAGCACCGTATATCATTAAAAAGTCAATTATCATCAACAATAAAGGTGGCAATTTAGGGCAATTGGAATCCAAACACCCGTCATGTAGTGGAAGATAAGAAATTGTCGACGGAATGGGTGACTAACTACATAAAGGCCTTTCGGCAGTCAGTGAACCAAATGCACTATCTTGACCAATTGAATCTATCACAACCAAACTAGAAACGCATATTGACAAATTCAACTTAAGATAAGGGGATATGTTTAATTAGAGGATTTAAACTATAATTTAAATTATAATTCATGATTCGCTACAGTATTTTCTTTCACAAAAAATACACATAAATTAAAAATAATTCTAATCACATAATTCTAATCTATAAACCCAACGTTTCTTAAATGATTCTGCACAAAATTTGACCCTATAAAATAGAGCACTCCTACATATAGGGGCTAAAATCCAGCTACCCACAAAAGGTTAGTCCTGCTACATTAAGTGAGACTGAACCTAATAAGACCGATCATCCTAATAAGACCGAGACTGAACCTAATAAGACCGATCATCCTAATAAGACCGACCATTTTATGAGTAATGAGATTTTATGCCGATGGAGATAAATACCATTTTTGTATAAAATATGCATCAAAACCAGCCTTTTATTGCCCAGTTTTGTAATCTTGATTTCTATTCGTAAATTCGTTGTCCTCAGATGCACAAAAACGACATGGAAGTAGAATAAATAGAAAATGGTCTCAATTAGCATGCCATAAATAGAACCCATATTTCTGAATCTCACAAAGACATAATCCAAAACTTAAGAAAACAAAATTACTGAACATCATTAAGTTTGATGGTCTGTATGGATAACTATGCCATAAAACAGAAAAAGAAAACAACTCAGGCAAAATGACTTCTACATAAAAAATAAAGAGCGTTAACATGTACGGCTTCTGTTCTTCAGTGCTCATTGCAGAGATGTCTCACTAGTTCACTTCTTGGCCTTCTTGGCGCCCCTACAAAAGAAGAATAAAGGGGGGAAAAATGTCAGCAGTGCTTAAAATGAATATAATAGATCACAACTTAAAAGATTAATATACTCACTCAGCTGGTTGGGAACCAGGTGCCGTGGGTGCCTTTTCTCCGGGTCCCTGTTGAATCAGGACACAAAATCAATGAGGAAAGACCAAACATATTAAGCACAAACACAGAGTTAGAACATAAATGGACAATATCCCATGTTAATTACAAGCATACACTTCTGGATCATTTGAAAAATCTGTTTTATAGATCACACGTGACAAGACTAGTAGCTTACTTGTGCCAATCGCTCCTCCCTACGAGCCAGCTTTCTCTCTCGGCTAGCCTTGTTCTTGGCACGCTTAGCCTCAAACTGGTCCGACAGAGTCTTCTCTCTTGCCTTCTCAGCCTTTGACTTGTGGATACTCTCCATCAGCACTCTCTTGTTCTTGAACACATTACCCTTGACCTTCATGTACATGTCATGGTACATATGACGGTCAATTTTCTTGGACTCACGGTACTTTCGGAGCAAGCGCCTCAGCACACGCATTCTCCTCATCCAGAGGACTTTGGTTGGCAACCTAGCCTCTCTGGTACCCTTGCGCTTACCTACAAACAAACAAGAAATAAAAAAGGTTAAATTCTTCAAGCATTCTCAACAATGAGATGGCAAAATCCAAAATTTCTGAATCGAACAATACCATATCCTGAGTGGCGACCCTTCCTCTTGGCCTCCTTCATTCTGCGGGCACGGGAACGAGAGTGGATCTTTGTTGGCTTTCTGATAATGAAACCATCCTTGACCAGCTTACGGATGTTTTGCCCTGCAAGTAATCAAACGTAAAAAAAAAACGTACACATTCATAGAAAGTAAGTGATAAAATATAATATTAATATTCTCGTTGGGGAATAAAATCTTAGGTTTCAAAAACATTCGAGGATAAAAAGGAAATGAATGGCTAAAATACTTGAAAAACAAGCATATCAACTCAAGGAAATTGTTTGTTTCGCTTTACCAAAACCAATACGGTCATTTCTAACAAATATATCATCAACCAAACCCTATTGTCCCAATACGACTATTATAAACAAAATTTTGTCGCGCCAATTCCAGCACATGATACTTAGACATTAAATGAATAAATTTCAGTTTAGAAAGCAAAAACGCTCCTAGAAAACAATTTCTGTTTGTCTCCTAGAGGAAAAAATCTAAAAGAAAAATCACCTAAAAACATAAAAGGCTTGAAAAAACCTAGAGCCCCAAACTCGGATGTTACTGATCTAACTCATCGCCGATCAAAATCATATATCCAGTAAACTATTACCAAATTTTGAAGGTAAAATACATAAACTTTAAAGGGTAGAATGAAAATGAATAACTAAATGGAAAATATTACATTGGTTTCAAAAAAACAAAAAAAGAACAGAAATTGGTTCCAAAAAGATAGAAAACTCAAATCCAAACTATCAAAGTGTCCAAGACCCTGAAAATGAAAAATCAAGAGAGAGAGAGAGAGAGAGAGAGGCTTACTTGAGTTGGCCATGGAGATTTCATTGACCTCATTAGGGTCAAGCCAGACCTTCCCTTTGCCGCACTTGAGCACGCTCGCGGAGAGCCGCTTCTGAAGCTTCAACGACACCATCGCTTCTCTTTCTCTCTCCTCTTTTACTCTCTCTCTCTCTACGGCTGCCCTAGCCAAAAATTGACAGACCGCAAGTTTTATACCACAGAGGTGGCGTTTTAGAAGAAGAGCTAGGGTTTTGCCTTGAGCTACTTGAGGACGAGCTTCGCGAATTCGTGGGCTGATAACGCCTCTTGGACTATTAAGCCCAAATAGGCCCATTTTAAAAATTTTGGCCTAGGCCCAACTTGATTTTTTTGGCTTTGACTATAGTCCGGCAAGTTTGACTCTTACCTGTCAAAATATCACGCGAACTACGTGCTAAGCAAAACACGTGGCGTATACGATTTTGCCACTGTTTTTCTCTCTCTTCTTATTTTCCCGGAAAATTTTCTGAATTGGAATTTCCCCAAATTTTTTTTTCTCGAGCCAAGCCCAGGCCCTTGCGTCGATAATCATTCCTTCGATTCTCGATCCAGAAGAAATTCCTTTTCCGATCATGGAGGTCTCTCTAATCGCCGACGCCGTTTCCGTAGCCACCTCGCAGGGCCTAGGGTTTGCAATTCGCCCTAATTTCTTGACCTCCAATTCTTCCTTCGATCAATTCTCGTCGTCTGCCGGAGTTCTCCAAATCTCATCTGTGATATTCCCCGTTGATGCACTCGCTCCACCACCGGTGAAGTCCGATCCGTATAAGACAGCTTCCCGGAGGCTGCTCCGCAAGAAGCGCCGTGTCAGGCGGAGATCAGCCGCCGGCGGCGGGGACTCCGAGGACGGAAATGAGGGCGAAGACAGCGGGTTCTTCGGCGGCGATGGTCCGTTCTTCGGCGGAGGAGGAGGGGGGTTCGGTGGCGGTGGCAGGGGATGGAATTTCGACAGGTTCGGAGGGCATAATTGGGACGAATCCTCGTCCTCTTATCCCTCCGATCCGGCTTTCGACTTCGTCTATGAGGTGATCTCGTGGATCGCGCTCTCGAATTGCGTGCACTTCGCGTTCAAAAAGGTTGCGCGGATCGTGGCCGGTGGGATCGGCGACGCCGAGAGGGAAAAGGTACCGATGAGACTGACTTCTGTTTGTTAATTGTTGTTGTTGGAAATTTTTTCATTTCCCGATTGGGTATTATCAAAACTTGATATTGGAATTTGTATATAATTGTACATATTTTCATTGTTTCTGCTTCCCTATATAATTTATCTGTGTAAATAATTGGTGATTTAGTTCTTCTAATTTGCACTTGATACTTCAGTTACACATCTTTGCTATACTGTTGATTGAGTAAATATGCCCTTTTTTTTTTTCGTTTTTAAGATAATTTTATATGTTACAAGGTCTAAATGCAACATATTGATATAGGGTTTGAATTATATTCGGCTTTCCATTCAGAATCATAATTTAAAATTATTCACATTTTTTATGTATTTTTTATAAAAAAAATATTATAACAAATTACGAATTATAGCATGAATTTCCTTTCTAACGCATTTTTAGAGTTTCTTGCACAATTATCTTTGTTGTGAATCTAGTCATTAGTCCTTTTTTTTTTTTAATAAAAATAGTTATTAGTCAATGCCTAAATAAGGGTGGAATGGACAAGAATTAATAAAAAATGATAACTGTGATGGAATAAAATAAAAAAAAATTTATTAATTTATTTAGTTGTAGTTTTACAAACTGTGGAATGGACAAGAATTAATTTTATTTGGACAAAATTACCCTGTGAAATAAACTTTACTGTTCAATACTATAGTTCCAAAACTTTCAAAATGCATTCGTTATTATTTGCCCTTGTAATCATGTTAAATTGCAAGAAAAAAAACTCCAGAATCAAACTACTCAACCAATACATGATATGCACTAGCACGAATCACACACGATCCGTGTATATGCAATAATAATTTTTGAGAGACAAATCTCACGGATCAAAACTTAACACATATACTAACCCATGACCTTTTTTTGAACCTAGAAATTAACCCATACAAATCCAGAGCAAAGCCCGAAATTTGAAAGAAAATAACGAACATTCAATAATACCCATGACCATTTTTTTGAACAAATACAGCACCTAGCACCAGATCTTGAACATTCTTCCATCAAAAAACCTTTTTTTGTTCTTTTTGAAATTTTTTTGTATAGATCTGGACTCTGTTTTTTTTTTTTTTTTTCAAAGAACATGATAACAATACGCTGCTCCGGCAAGGATTTGACAAATATGGCGAAGTGGTGCTTGGGGGAATTGCAGATCTAACTGGCGCACATCTGCTCATGTCAAGGCAATGGCGATTAGTGGTGGAACTTTGGACCGGCCCACTGTCCAAATTTTTCGGGCTCGGCGGGTAGGCCCATATGCCGGCCCATCCAAAGTTACATTTTTGGGCTCGGGCTCGGGCAGCCTGAATTTGGGCACCACGCCGGAGCCTGTTGCCGTGTAGCGCCGTCAACCGCCGTCCGCCGGAGTTTTTTTTTAATTTTTCCGGCCAAGCCCGAATGCCTAACCCGCCCGAAGCTCGATTTGTCCGAAACACGGCCAAAATGCCGACCATTGGTGCCCGACCCGAAAATAAGTCCGAAAATCCAAATTTTGCCCGAATGCTTGAGGTGTCCGAAAACCCGTCAAACGGCTAGTTTTTTTACCGTTGCGTCCGAACCCGTCAAACCCTAAACTAGCCGTTGCACCCCGAATTTAAAAAAAAAAATCAATTTTTTAACCAAAAAATTTTCCTATAAATACCCTCCATCCCCCACACATTTTTCTCACTCAAACTATCTCAATCTTTCTCAATCTCTCTCAATCTCTCAAATCTCTATTACAATTTTTTTAAAAACTATCACATTATCCTAAAGTTCTCTCTCTCAAATCGCTCTTATTTTTTTATAATGGATCCTTTTGGTTATAGTGGTATTCCCATTGATGCCCAACACAATGTGGAAGAAGGACAATTTCCTGCTAATGAATTTGTTACGCAAGAATCTACTAATCCGAGCTCTAGTGGACGTACTGGAGGTCGTGGTCGCAATGGTGGTGGGCGTGGAGAAGCGACGAGTGCCAGTGCGACTACGTCTGCAAGTGTTGCAACCTCTAGGAGGAAATGCAAGCGCACCTCGATAGTTTCGGATCACTTTGACATAATTGAGGAGATCGACAATGAAGGTAACACTAAACATATAGCTCAATGTAAATATTATTTATCTAAATTACAATGTGACACTATTCACGGCACCACATATTTGAGAAGACACTCCGAAAAGTGTCTTCAAAAGCTTAGCCAATCTGGCGGACCCGAACTCCGCCAAACACAATTATCTTTTGATCGCGCAACCGGTGGTCTAACCACTTGAAAATACGATCCGCAAGTAGATCGTATGGAAGTTATACGAATGATAGCTGCTTTAGATCAACCACTTAGTTTTGTAGAGCAACCTAATTGGTAACGATATATTGAGGTTGTACATAATCCCAATGCACAGTTCACTTCAAAAACTACTCTTAGAAAAGATTTATTAAAATTATCTAAACAAGAAAAAGAAACATTAATAAACCTTTTACACTCGACTAGTGGGTGCGTTGCATTAACGACATATATTTGGTCTGCCGTTGCCAATAAAAATTATTTAGCTGTAACCGGACATTACTTTAAAGGATTTGATTTAGATAAGAGAATATTAAGTTTTAAATGTGTTCTATGATCGCATAGTGCGGATTTAATATATAATTTTATTTTAAATGTAATTGATGAATTTAGATTAAGAGATAAAGTAATGGCTATAATATTAGATAATGCTAGTGCCAATACAAAAGCAATTGAGTTCTTTGAAAATGATTTAAGTTTATTCGGTGATGGTACTATTTTTCACCAACGTTGTGCATGTCATATAATTAATTTAATTGTTAAATCCGGTTTAAAAGAAATGGGTAATCACATTAAAAGAATTATAGATAGTCTTGCATGGATTCAAGGTAGTAACCAAAGACAAAAAGATTGGTTTAGATTCTTACAAGCATTAAATATACCTCCTAGAGCATAGTGTTAGATATGCCTATAAGATGGAACTCAACTTACATAATGCTTCAACAATATATCCCCTATAAGGATGTTATAACAAACTATATGTGTTCAAAAGTAGGAGTAGGATATATAGACGCATATGATTGGCAAATTGCCGAAGTTTTGTATAAATTTTTAGATAGGTTTCATGAAATTACTCTAAAACTTAGTGGAACATATTACCCAACATCACCTTTAGCTTTAGTAAAACTTTTATGAATTAGTATTTTATTTAGCAAATATAAGGAGGACTCAATCTTAGCAGTTTCTATCCATTCTATGGAAAAGAAATTTATAAAATATTAGTTTAAGTTGCCTTTGTTGTATGATTTAGGCACTATTTTTTATCCTAGATTAAAATTAGAAGGTTTAGAAAGTGGTTTAGAAAACTTAGGTGAATTTTTAGGCATCAATTGTACGGACCAATATCCAATAATAAAGAAAAAAATATATTCGATCTATAGTAAATATGAGATTAGGTTTAGAGTACCTCCTAGAGTACAAGAACCGCAACAACAAGATGAAAATTCGCATTCATTCTTGAATGTTTTCGGGTTGAAAAAGAAGAAGAAGAGAACTCAAACAGAAGCTGGGAGTGAATCTTCGTCAACAAGTGGCAGTGGCAGCGGCGGTGGCGGTGGCAGCGGCGGCAGCAGCTTCAACGAGCTTATGGCGTACCTCAGTGAAGGCTTAGTAGTTGACGATACGGCAGAATCGTTTGACTTAGTTCAATGGTAGAGGGCACGGGTATTAACTTGGCAAATCCTAACTCAATTGGTAATGGATATATTTTCGATTTCAGTCTCCACTATCTCATCCGAACAAGTCTTCAATACTACAGGAAGAATACTTGAGGAATGACAGAATGCATTGCAAAGGGATATTGTTGAAGCCTTGGTTTGCATTAAGTATTGGGATCGGGCCGATCAACGTTTACAGGATACAATTTCACCGGCAAGACAAGAATGGATCGATGAATTTAATCGATTGACATTTAATTTTGAAGACGATCCTTCAGCTTCAAATTAAATTGTAAATTTATAATTTGTAAATATGTATTTACTTTTGACATTGTATTTGTAATTGTATAACTTTGTAAGTTTGTAAAATCTGTAATTTGTCACAAAATGATTACACTCTTTTTTCCTTACCAAGTTTTTATCCCAATTGGGTTTTTCTTGGAAATGTTTTAAATATACATCATTAATATACATCATTAATTTATTCAATTGTGTTAATAATGTCTGTTGAATGTTGATTTTGATTTTTATATAATTTTAACACAAACTAATTTAATAATTATAAAAATTAAAAAATATTTTAAAAAAATTCGGGCTATTCGGGCGGGCTTGGGCGGCCAGGCCGGGTTCGGGCAACCAAATATAAACCCGCAGCCCGTTTAAGTGCATTTTTGGGCTCGGGTGGGCGGCCCAAATTTTTCAGGCGGGTCGGGCTCGGGCAAAAACTCGGTATTTTCGGACGGTCGTGGGCGGCCCGTCCAAAGTTTCAGCACTAATGGCGATTGGGCGATGATTTGACATGTATGATAATTGGTTGCAATGGTGGAATGTCGGGAGGAGGTGACGATCTGCCAAGTAGAGTTGCCGGAGATACGACAGCGACGAATGTACCGGCGACGGTCAGAGGAGGTCGGCTATGGCGGGAGGGAGGGGATGATAGTTGGTCGACTGGCGTTCCAAAAAAAAAAGAAAGGAAAAAGGAGTAATTATGAAAAAAGTAATTAAAAACACTTTAGAATGGTCATTCCTCTCGTCTGCCAGAGGAATGATGATTAAACCATTTTGGTGGAAAAGTCATTCCATTAAATGACTATTCTTGATTAAAAAACAAACCAAACACCCCAACCAAGCACAGCTTAAGTCTCTTATATCATGTAATGGCATGGCATCAAAGGAAGTTTTTTCTTTTTTGCTTGCTTTATGGGTTTTTTATGATCTATAATCAACTCAACTCTAGTTAAGTGGCAATCAACCTGCTTTATGGAATACTTACTTCTCTAGTTTGGATCCTTTGACGAAAAAGTATTTGGGATGTCCGAAGTATTTGTGTTTATTTAAAAGCTATGTACTGTAACTGTAGCGACCATCCTTTGAGGCCGCCACTGTAA